CAGCCTCCGGATCGGCAAGCGTGGGCACGACTGGCGAGGGAGCCCGGTCCAGGCCCGGCAGGGACAGGTGTGGGGCACCCTGGGTGTGGCTGGGCTGGGAACGTAGAGGTCTGCTGCTGGTGCTGTGGGTGCTTTCCCCCTCCCACCTGGAGGGGGCACATGGCACTCACGGGCTCTGGCGGGGTCTGCCGCCCCGTCCCTGTTCAGCCCACTGGGGCTTTTCTGGGCACTGGGGAAGCCCTGCTCCAGGAGCTGTGGAAAGGGCGGCGGTCTCCACCGAGCCTAATTCTAGGGGAACTTTAAATGCTCTATCCGAACAGTTGGGTAAAGTGGTGTGGCTTCCTGGGAGATCTCTGGATTCTTGTGCCAGCTCTGGCAGGTCTCCTTGGGGCTTTTGCTTTCCCAGCACCCAGGTGAGGTAGGCCTTTGGTGCACCCACGTTGCAGAGGGCATGCAGGAGCCAAGGAAGCAAGGGGTCCCGGGCAGCTGCCAGTCCCCCGTCTTTCCTAGAGCGTGGTCTCGCGGGGTAGAGAAGCTGACGCAGGGCGTTGTTTCTGAGGACCACCTGTTGTGTGCGGTCTCCCCTTCCCCAGGCGATTGGACACAGCACTAGAAGGGCACCTCTGTCCCCCCTCCTAACCTTGTGTTTCTCGATGGGAAGGGAAGAGGGCATGAAAAAAAGGCTGGGGTCCACTCGGGGCAGAGGGCCCCCTGTTCCCCCGGAAAGTGTGGCTGCTGTTCCAGGGGGTGCTAAAGGTGTCCCTCAGGAGCTTCCCTTGGGCCCGTCTGGGTGGCAGAGCAGTGGGTTGGGGGCAGGGTAAGAAGGGCCACTCAAGAGCCAGAGGGGGCCAGGCACCCCCTCCCATGCTCCCCTCGACCCTTATGAGTTGGCCCCTTTCTCAGGTCCCCTGGCAGTGCCCCACAGCTGCAGAGACAGGGCTCAGGAAATGCCGCCTCTGTGGTTTGTTTTCCCAACCCCTTGTGCCAGGGCAGGGCGTGGGGAACGAGGAGAGCAAGTGCCATTTGGGGGGCTTGTTTGGGGAATCAGAACTGAGATTAGAAAATGCAGCAGTCAGCCACCAGGGTGTGAACGTTTGGCTCGCGTTGATGTCTAAGCGCATGAGAAGTCTTCCAGAAATGTGTGACTAATCCACGAACGGGAGCAGGGGAGGAGGCGGCAAGGCTGCTGGGCTCCTCCAGAGCAGGCTGGCTGATCTCTGCTCTTGGAAGCCTGGCCCCAAACCACCTTGTGCTGCAGCCCCTATGGGTCCCCCGGTCTTGGGAAAGACCAGCTGCGACCAGCGTGCCTCTTTGGCTGGTCTTCGCTCCTGTTGGGGGAAGGATGCAGACACTGGTTGCTGGTTTGTTAAATTGTAGGGGTTTGTTCCCCAATCCACCGTCCCAAAAGCATCCCCCATTCCCTTTCTGGCTTCCCTTTCATCCTGGCAACAACTGGAGAGCAAGTGAAGGAGCAAAACATAAACACAGGGAAGAAGAGAGGTCCATGAAGAGCAATCAGCCTTTTTCAGAGGCAGCCTGCCTGAATAAAGATGCTGCTGGGGTCAAACAGCGGCAGCCATATTAACCCCACAGCCTTTCAAGCTCACTGAATGTAATTAAATGTTTGGTGGTGGAGCTGTTAGTACACATGCGTGTATGTTTTCATAGTCATTGAGGTAGGACGATGTTATTACGTCCCTTCTTTTACAAAAATGGGACTGGGGGCTGGCCCGCCTTTGCTCTCCAAGCCGTCTCTCCAGTGACCATGCTGGGTTTGGGTCCCTGACCTCTCCACCCCGTGTAACTGTCTGCTTGCCCTGGCCTTGGACAAGCGAGGAGGAAAGCACCAAAGCGATCTGTTCTTTGGGCCTTTTTCCACTCTCCAAGCTGAGATGAAAGTTGGGCCTGTGCCTCTGGGGGTCTTCAGCATGCCAGAGGTCTTGAGTTTGGACCCTCTGCAAGGGAAGCCCACCTCCCAGCTGGGGGGCAAAAGGGGCGACAGGCCAGGCAGCTTGGACTTGCAGGACCGCGAGCTGGTTGACTCTCCTGGGAGGGGGCAGAGATCCCAGAATCATGAGAGCAGGGGGTCTTCCAGGGATGCCGCACTTCCCGGGAATTTTCCATTCCTCAGCTAAACTTCATTAGTGCTTTATGGTGTCATTGGTTTGGCTTAATTTATTTATTTGTTGAAAAACCAGGGTTGTTTGATTCACAGAATAGAATCTTAACAGATTCATGCCTTGCATATTCTCACACCCAAACCTGCATCTGCAGAGTCTCTTCTCCTGGGAGGAAAACTCCAGCTGGGACACAATTCCAGAGCCATGTTGAAGGCCGGGTTGGAAAGTTGCTGCTACGATGCCCTCTTCACGTGGGCTGAACGTGAAGGCAAGTCCAGTGGCTGCCACAAGAGCCTCTTGGCAGTGAACAGCTGACCTGGCCCACCAACCCAAATCTAGTTTCTGCTTTTGAAATTAAATTGGAGCATTTAAGCCCTTAGAAAGCTGTACCTCTGCTCCAGGAACCAGAGAGGATGTGTGCGTGGCAGTCGTGGCCCAGACATAGCCAAGCATTGCTGACCACACGGCTAATTCCCACACCCCGCGCCCTCAGCAGAGCATCCCAAGAACGTGTTGAAAGTGTAGGCAAGTCCTTGGTGGCCTCCCCCCCTCCCCTCCCCTCCCCTCCCCCA